TTATCACAAACTGTCTTAAGATACTTCATCATAATGGAGCCAGTGACTACATTAAGAAATGTAGTTTCTCCATGATAACTTTACAAAGGACGAGTAAAAACACATCATGATGAGACATAAACACTGTTTTTAAACTCAGACTGAGCTCCTCAATATGTTTGATGAGCGTCATCAGTGATCACAGAACTTCAAACGATATCATTTTTCATCATTTATATAAATATTTATATAAATTCCCAAATGACAGTAAACTTGTTTTGTGCTTTATTCTCTCTACAATAGTCGGTAATAATGAACAAAACCATGATAGCCAGCATGACTAGCTGAGACCAGAGTGCTCAGAGACCAAGATAAGATCAAGACCAAGGCAGGACAAGAAGGAGACAAGACCAGGACAAGAAGGAGACAAGACCAGGACAAGAAGGAGACAAGACCAGGACAAGAAGGAGACAAGACCAGGACAATGAATTTCACTGAAAAATCATCAACTTGTGTGCAGCTGGCGTGACACTCACTCAGACTGTAACACCAGGAAGGTTGCAGCCGTAACTGGGGATAAAAGTCAAACTACAAATGAATTGAAGTTAATCGTTGTTTCAAAAAAACAACCCTTTTCCTTCCTACCACAATCAATTAAGGAACAGGACTACACTGTAAGACCGAACAGTAAAAGCATGTTAAAAAAATTGGGTTGTGTGAACTCGGAAATTCAAAATAGTTATTTCAACTCTATTTTTCTAAGTTATTAGAACGCGTTTTTAGTTTGAAGTAAACAGAGCTCAACCAATTTGATTATTTTTCATAATTGTTCTCAAATTGTTTGATCTGCTCTGCATGACGTCACGGTCACGTGCGTACGTGCTCTCACCGCCATGTTTGCTCTCGCATCGAGTCGCTAAGAATGAGCCAGCTAAGCGGAGTGAACTTTACAAGTTGAGAACAATTTGGACACAGACAATAGATATTGTTATTTGTGGAGCAAATCGCAGACTTTTGAAGGGACTTTTGTTCGGACATGCAGGAGTTTTCTGTCTCTACTCTGCTGAATGCGCTGACTGCCGTAGCATTGGTGCTATCTTTGAGCTAATCTGGTGAGTAATAACTTATTTTATCACATTTTGATATCGTTTCTTCATTTAATGAAATAGTTCTCATGTCCGCAGCTATTTCATGCATTTAGTATGAAGAGTGAATACGTGTTTTCTGTTGTACTTTTGTGGCAAAGTTAGCCTATTTAATTAATGCAGTTTGCACTATTTAATGTGAAAACATTTGAAAAAATATAACTGGCTTAACTTCTTTCTTTAACTTTCTTTAACTTTTCAAGTATAAACTAAGTCTTGCTTTAAAATTTGTCTGGAAATGTTACTGGACTGCTTTTGTTTCTCGACCTCCACATGCATGTTTCTGTACAGACAACCGTTAACGTTTTTAAAAGAGGTCTTGTAGTAGTTTATTTAGTGCTATCATTTGTTAGACATTTTTGATAGGTAGGTAAACTATCAAAAATAAAGCCTGGTGTGGAAAATAACCGCATTGTGCGCGGTGTTTCTGTTGCTCCTCAACTGTAAATTAACTGTAAAGAAACATTTCTGCTAAAATGTACAGTTTAGCTCATTTTTCTATTTTCTTTGTCTTAAGGCTTAAATACAAGCAACTTGGTGATATCCGGAGTCTTCAATCAGGTATGTATATTCAAAGCACAGACTTTTAATAGACATTTCTTGTGCACAATCACTGTAAAGAGAAATCCGATGTGATGCAGATAAGGGAAGTTTATCTAAAACCTGTTCACTGTTTCATCATTCTATGCTTTGTATGTCAAACTTGCTGATTCGACACCGTTTAGTTTTACAATGGCTTGGCAATGCAAACTTTGTCCTGCTGTGTGTGACAAAAGGGCACAGTTGCTTGAACACTGTCGTTTGCATCACAGCAATTTATCCTCAATCAACCATTGCCTTGTCTCTTTGATGACTGTATCTGCACATTTCAGTCAATAAATGCATTCAAAATTCATTTAACAAGGTTGCATAATAATACAGTTGTACCCAGTGAAAACGAGGTGGGATGTTTGTCATTCACATGTCCTTTGTGGATTCAAGCAACCATTTAATGATAAGAGTCTCCTCAGTCATTTAAGGGCACATTTAAAACACCATGAAATGGTGGACTGTCCTTTCAAAAACTGTCAAGACCGCACTAATGTCTACTCCTCCTTTAATGCCCACAAAAGTAGGACTCATCCAGACAGTGATGTTTCAAATTATAAGAATGAGATTGTCTGTACAGAAACTGAAAGTCAACCAATGCAGAGTCAGGATGAATCTGATAGGGATAGCCCTTTACCACACTCTCCTGAGCTGGATACTCCTGAGTGTGAGCCCTCTGGATCCAGAGATGACACTGATGACTTGGAAGGGCACTTCAAAAATAATTTGGCTTTTTCTTCTTGAAAATGAACAGTGTTCTTCATGTGTCAGAGACAGCTACACAGGACATCATTGAAAATTTGGCACAAATATTCACTTTGTCCAAACCTGTTGTGAGAGAAGCTGTTGTCAATAGTTTACAAGAGCATGATCTGTCTGTCAGTGGGGCCCTTCTTCATGACCTAGAGGAGGCTATCATGAAAACTAATGTTTTTGTCAATGCTACTTCAGAAGGTGCGGAACTGTCCACTGCTAAGCGGAGGGAAACATTTGTGAGGAGTAACTATCCTTTGGTAATGCCAGTGCAATACACTTTTGATTCCAGTGAACACACAGCAGTGTATGTTCCCATTCTTCAGATGATTCAAACAATGTTTAAAACTACTGATCTTCTTGAAAAAATTCACGAGGCAAAACCGTCTCCACCAGGAATTTACATGTCTCATGAAGATGGAACATATTTCAAAGAAAATCAGTTATTGTCTGAAACAGGGGAGCTGAAACTGTCCCTGATTTTGTTGCTGTACTGCAGACCAGAAACAGTGCACTGACGTTTCTGAAGGGGAGTTTAGCATGAGAACAAGGGCCTCCCATGATCTTCATGTGCAGAATGTTGTGGAAGAAGACAAAGCAAATCACTTAGGTGTTAAAGGTCAGTGTGCTCTCAGCATGGCATTGCAGCATTTTCATCCCATCACTGGTTTTCCACCTGATATTCTTCACGACCTCTTTGAGGGTGTCGTGCCAGTTGAGATGGCCTTGTGCATCCGTGAGATGATTTGCCTGAAGTATTTCACACTTGAATATCTAAACACAAGAATTCACACATTTCCAGATCAGCACACTGATAGGCTTGATAAACCGCAACAAATTCCAAAGAATTTTGCTGCCAAACGGGCATGAAAATTCCACTTTGCTTAGGTTATTACCACTACTGGTAGGAAGTAAAGTCCCTGAAGGAGATGAAACATGGGCCATATTGTTGGACCTCAAAGAAATAGTGCAGCTGGTGTTGTCTCCATCTTTCACAGAGGAGTCTTTACAGTACATGCAGACTAAAATCAGTGATCATCGACAGGGACTTCAAGCAGTGTTTCCAGACTTTAAGCTCAGACCCAAGCATCATTATGTTGAGCACTACCCAGAAATGACAAGGCGCTTTGGGCCTCTTGTTCACCTTTGGACAATGAGGTTCGAGGGAAAACATCTTTTTTAAAAGAGTGATACAGGACACACACAATTTCAAGACTGTCTTGAGAACTCTTGCCACTAGGCATCAGCACATGATGGCGTATCACTGAAGTGCACATTATTTTTCAAACCCCACACACAATCTTCGAGTGTCACCTCTGTCCACGTTGCCACACTGCCTCAAGTGGCAAAAGACTTTATAAGAACAAAGACAGACAGCCAAAACATATACAGTACAACACAGGTGTCCATTGATGGCACAGAGTATGCTAATGGTATGTATGTTTCTGCAGGCCAGGCTGGAGACTGACCAAACACTGCTTGTGAATAACTCTGTTTCTTTTCTTTGCAGAAACTACGAGAGCTGGTACAGAGAGCATTTGAGGTGATTTGAGCTGACATCCTCAGACACCTGCTCTGTCATCGAGCTGTCAGAACTAAATGACACAGTAAGTTTGTCTGCATACAACATAGATGGACACTTAATACTGACACAAAAAAGATTTATTTTGATCAGAGAAATCCAGGTGTAAAATGTTATCAGAAGTGAAGAACCATATGGCCTCATGGAACAGTGTGTAGCAAAGTAAGACAGGTAAACTAAAATTTGATATGCCAGTTACGTTTACTAACATTACAAGCCTAGAAAGACTTACCTGCTACAACTGTAATGTTTTTCAAACCCAGCTTTTAGGTGAATAATATCTGTCTATAACTGTTTCACACAAATACCTATTGTGTATGCATTGTTGAATGCTATTAGTTAATCTGTTCTCTCCCCTCTCTTGTTTTAATAGGTAATCTTCACATACATACTTCCATGGACATTGTCAGGAAGATGACTTTGGCTTCATGTCCAGAATCTGTGACTGAGCTTGAAAAAATGACAAAAGAAAAGTTTAAGATAGACTTTGATTTTTGCTAATCATATGAAGATCCAGACTTTGACGGGCAGTTATGTTCCCTTATAGACATTGAAGAGCTTCCACAGAAGGCAGTACTTAAACTTGTAAGATCTCAGAGTGATGCCAGTTCAATTGCATCTGATGACACAATAATATTGCCTCATGCAATGACTCCAGAAAGGACCCAGAGATGGGATGTTTGTCCAGTGCCAGCTTTTTCTTATGAAGTAGAACTCATACTTGTTGAGGGAAATTTGAATCATGAGAGAACAGGGAAAACCCTGAAGTTATCAAGGGGACAGAAGCATGACATTCTTGAAACCCTTGCATCCAAAATGCATAGCTTTAAAGCATATCCAGTGATAAAGACATTTCAGTGGTTGCAGAAGCGCTTGTCACCACCCATCCTTGTCTTAAAGAACCAGGAACGCAGACAGGATGGTATGGTTGGAAAAATAGTCTGAAGTTTAAGATGGGTAACTTCTGCACTAAGTTGAGTCGGGCAGGATATAGTGAGGTAGCTGTAAATTCTGGAAAGAGAAGCAGAAACAACCCTGACAAACAATCTCCCCACACTGACATAAAGAGACCAAAAAGGGCAGAAGTGAATTTTCTCCCCAACTTTCCAAAAGGAGAAGATGGTTCAAGCCTTGAGCGACAGAGACTCCAGATTGTAGATGAAGTTATAAGGACTGACAAAAACCTCCCTCTGATTGCAAAGTTGATGCAGACCACCTTTCCCTGCGACGCAAAGAGGTCATCAATGATGACTTGCCTGTTGGAGAGATCCTGGAGCGCTGGCCTGCCCTAAAGATGGAGTCACAGGTGAGTTTTTTTTTCTTTGTATGTGATAGGGAAGTGTAGGGATCTCAACATCAGTCACTTAGTCTGACAAGCATTTAACAAATGTAAAGTTTTGACATTTATAATGCGACAGTACATAATGTTTAAACACGTTTTGTAATGTAATGTTTTACAACTTCATTTTCCTTTTTCTTTTGAGATACAAATGCACTTCAATGTCACATTTTTATTTTACAGATTTGTGCAGAGTTTCACAGAATCACAAACATCAACCTGAAGAACCACTTCTATTCTGAGTTAGACAGACATGTCCCTCGTCTTCAGAGTTTGTTCAGGAAGAAAGCTGCGCGCACAGGGAAGGTGTCTGAAGTCCTGGATCAGCTCTTCAACACTTATGACCGCCAGGTGAGTTGATTATCCTTCTTCATGCATGATAATAATAGAACCCTGTTGGAACTCCCTATCTTCAGATTACATTAGGGCCAAATGATGATGCCATCGTTGATAGCTGACAGTCTTCTATCGTGAAAGACTGTTTGGAAAAAACACGACCAACAATAGAAACAATAAATGTCATCAAGTGTTCCGCTCTTTGATATTGTCATTTGACAGTTTGGTAGGCATTACCTAATCGTATTCAAATACATCATATAGGGCTATTTCTTGTGATAAATTCTGTTCCTTCCCTGTTTGGCATTTCAAATTAAGATGATGTGTTTTCTCATACTTAAGGAACAAGTTGACGTCAATGTCCTCCGTGCTGCCGTCCTCCGTGCTCTCCCTACATATCTGCATGAGGATGACTCCGGATTTCTGAAGCTGTGGGATGTAAGTCAGCATATTATTAAGACTTGTAATGAATCTGTTGAACATGTTATATATTTCATCTGTTTTATTCAGATGCTGTCATTTTGGTGTATGATTGCCATGATATTAAAAGTGAAAAAGATTAATATAGTAATAATTGTCCTGCAACATCTACAGTAGGCTTAATCTTACCTGTGAGGAATTAGTAATTAAACTTTGCATTTACTGGTCAAACCTCAACTCATGCTGCAGTTTTTAAAATTCCATTTAAAACCTGCAGAGCTGGAATAGTATGCTAAACAATATCAACATCTATAGTGAGAATAAATGCAATATAGTGATTGTTTAAAAAAGCTTGTCAGTTGAGTCATTGTCTTTCAGTACCATTTAGCTTTGATTGTTTTGAGGCCAAAAAAACAAAAAAGGGGATAATTACTACATTTAAAGTGGTGAATTAAGAAATCCCTGAATAGCAATAGGGTAGTGTACTTTCCATATTTTTCCGCTGATCAAGAAACATGAAAACAGCTTTTGGTACATTGTCATTCTATGGGAAACACTGAAGCTTAGGCAGTTGATTTGTAACATTTCTCTGTCCTTAGCAGGCCCTGTCAGATGAACTGCAAATCGACAACATACCAGTTGGGCTCCTCCTGATCAGTGCCACTTCAACAGATGCTGCGGTATTCTGCCCCGAGAAGGTTGCCGTTGTGCTTGAGGGTAACACAGTTGAAAAAATGCCCGTTGAACTCAAAGTTGTAATGGGTTTCTGTTGGAAATGCCTGGGTTTTTCTAGTGTTGATGTACAGAACTATAGGGTAAACCTTTTGTCATTTTGCTGAAGTTGCATTTCTTTAGTATATCTGTGTATTAAGTTGTCAACTATTCTTAAAAGTTACTGTGTTTCTGAACTATTTTACAATAGTTGTTGCTGTGTCTTTCTGATACAAAATTGGACTTTCTCTGGTTGAAGTTTGATATTTGTTTATTTTGCTCCTGTGTTGTGTCATGAGGACAGGTCTGGAGATACAATGTTTACTCAGATATATGTCATTTGAATGTTTTGTCATGCTGCTGTTTTGAAAGCCTATGAGTTGGTTCCTGAGGCATATAGGCAAAGATTTAGAAGCTGGAGGAAAGGTGATGTACAGACTCACGTAGAGTTTGCACGGGATATTTCAGCTCACTTTGCACGCTGGTGTCCTGCCTCGGAGGTAGATCATTATGATGATTTGTGTAACCTTATGGTATTGGAACAATTTAAGGACTCTGTTCCACACCACATTGCTGTACACATCAATGAGCGTAAGGTTAAGACAGCTTCAGCAGCTGCAGTGTTGGCAGATGAGTATGTGTTGACTCATGCTGGTGGCTCAGAATGGCGCTGGGGCGTAAAGGACAATGTGAAGTTTAGTCCAGGAAAGTTTGTTGGGGCTACTCAGGGTTCTCAGGCCAGTTTCAGAAGTGTACCAGGTACGGATGGTAGATTTGATCCAGGTAAACTGTGCCATTCATGTAAAAATAAGGGTCATTGGAAAGGGGAGTGTCCAATTTCCATGTCGGAACAAAAGTCAACCGATCCAAGTGTGTATATGAAATCTGCTGGTCTGGTGGCTTCACTGTCATCAGTGCAGAGTCTAATGGTGCCAGGAACATCTCCTGAACTGCCATCAAAGGGGGTTGATGAAATGTATGCCCCTTTCATGTCACATGGGTTTGTGTCTCTGAATGATGGTGAGATGAAACCTGTAAGTATTTTGAGGGATTCAGGGGCGTCCCAGAGTTTCATTTTGGAACGTGTGTTGCCGTTTTCTTCTGCTACAGACACTAGGGAGACGACTCCCGTTCGGGGAATTTCTTTGGTTCCTTTGTTTGTGTCATTGCATCGTCTTAGCCTGTGTTCAGATCTGGTAAAAGGGGAAGTGGTCATGGGGGTACGGAACTCATTGCCATTGGAGGGTGTGATGTTATATTGGGTAATGACTTGGCGGGGGCAAGAGTGTGGAAAGATGATCCACCTTCTGTTGGGTAACAGCATCACCCGAGTGCTCTCAAGGTCCGGATGAGTGTGCTAAACAACATCCAATGATTTTTCCTGTTTGTGCTGTGACTCGGACAATCAACTTCAAAGAGTTGGGGAGGTTTGGTTTGTTGGGGTACTGGTGGATTGGGTGTTTGCTTATTGATATGGCCCAATTTGCGACTGTGGTGGCCCCATTGACAGACCTTTTGAGTAAGAGGACGGTTTTTGTGTGGTCTCCTAAATTTGAGGATGCTTTTGTTACGGTGAAATCCTTGCTCTGTTGTTCTCCTATGCTTGCAGCGCCAAACTTTGAGAAGCCCTTTAAACTTCAGGTGGACGCAAGTGGAGTTGGTGCAGGAGCTGTACTGTTGCAAGAAGGGAAGGGGCTATTGATCATCCAGTCTGCTTCTTCTCCCGTAAGTTCAAACGTCATCAGTTCAATTATTCAGTTGTGGAGAAGGAGACGTTGGCACTTACTTGGGCTCTAAAATTTTTTGAAGTGTATGTAACTTTGGGGTCTGCACCAGTTACTGTATTCACTGACCAAAACCATCTGACCTTTCTGTCCAGCATGCAAAACAGCAATCAAAGGTTGAGGCGCTGGTTGTTGTTTTTACAGCCCTACAACTTTAATATCTGTCACCTCAAGCGTAGGGATAATGTAATGGCAGATGCTCTTTCTCGGGAAGTAGTTTAATGTGTACGTACACCCAAGTGTACGTTCTTTATGGGGGAGGTGTGACGGCCCTGGCCATGGTGTTTGGCCTGGTACTGCTTGTGTTTTGTATTTCAGGGTTTGGCGTCATCTGGTGGTTGGCGGTGGCATGCCTGCTGGTCGTGGGAGACTCGCCAGCTGGTCGTGGGGAGACTCGCCCACCTGCTGCTGATTGCGGATGGGCTTCACCTGGGTGGAAGGGCATACAAACCGGGCTGCCATAGCTTTCAGGGGGTTCCTCGGGTCAGATTGGACTTATCTCCCTCTGCTCTTGCATTTTTTTGGTGGTTCTGAAATAAACTAAAACCTAAGCAAGTTGACTGTGTGGACCTCCATTTTGAATGTTAGGGCCTACACGAGCTGGCCGTAACACTAGGAGGCTGCCACAAAGAGCTTGGTAACGCTGATCATTAGGAGGCTGCCACAAGAAGCTTGGAAAAGTTGATCAAACTGCAAAAGATGACAACACATTAAGTTGTGAGTGCAAGTACCAGAATACCCAGAAATGCAGACAAGTCGAAATTGAATTAGAGCTCTGACCAATGAAAAGAGATAAAATTTGAACATTTAGAATGGACTAGCAATTATTTTACAAACAAATAAGCTTCAATAACTAAGATCAAGTCATGAAATTATACTAAATTCTGCCATTTTATTAAAATATCAAACACACAGGAACAACATTAACCTTCCTGCATGTATTCACTGACAATCTGTAACCTAGAATGTACATTTACTGCTTAACCGACAGCTTTACTGAAGGAGAGTTAAATATGAATGTCACAGCAAAGGGTCTGAATACTTATGACCATGTGATATTCAGTTTTTCTTTTTTAATAAATTTGCAAAAATTTCTACATTTCTGTTTTTGTTCTGTCAAGATGGGGTGCTGAGTGTACATTAATGAGAAATAAAATGAACTTTTTTGATTTTAGCAAATGGCTGCAATGAAACAAAGAGTGAAAAATGTAAAGGGGTATGAATACTTTCCGTACCCACTGTATATTGGTAAGTATTCATTTTTTTGAGCTGTAGTACTTTAGACTGTACCGCTGGTGTATTCAGTGCTGTTTACCAAAATTTGTGCAATGTTGATGAGGGCGAACTTTACTTTGAAAGTCTGAGTTTGCAGACTAGCTTGGTAACACTTAACATGGCCACTAGCTAGCATAATAGTCCAGACATGAACATAGCAGTCGCAAAACTGCAATTGAGAAAGGCAAAAGAATTGTGAGGCGAATGAACTTGCCCTCACTTATTATTTTACTTAAGATAGGCGTGAGGAGCGTGAGCGGGGAAGATTGTGGCCTGTTGTCTGCCCGGACACCGCGGTGTCTCTCTGCGTTCATACCGACCAGCGGATTACTTTCCCCTGAGAGCTGGACGGTGAACCAAGAATATTTATCTAACTATTTGTTGTGCGTGTATTTTAAACCTTTTCAATAGCAGTGTTTCCCTTACCAAAGACCGAACTTCAACCTGCAGACGGTTTCCCACTGATATGGTCCACTCCAGCCAGAAGACGTTATGCTAATGAGTTATGCCCGCGAAGATGGTATCGCACATGCGCAAAGGGCGGCTCCACATTCCAACTCATTTATTTTGTGTCATCAAATCCATCCCATAGGGTAAATTGTTATACATTTTATGTTTCACTGATTAAATATATATGTGTATATTTTCAAACTAGATATTTTTAAATAAATCCAACAATACTTAAGTGTGTCACATCTAAGAAGGGCTTGAATCAGTTTTATGAGTGTTGTTAGTTTGGTTATTGGTTTTTGTTTTTGCTGTTATTTCTATGTGCAAATATTTGTAGGTTTGTTTTTTTGTCCACTTTATCACCAATAAAAAAATGTTATGTAAAAAAAAATCTTATTACCCATAATCCTCTGCTTGTAAAGAGTGTGTATTGTTTAAGTGCGTTTACAATGAGGTTTATAATCCAAAACAAATATGAGGGCTGATTGATTTTTAAGGTCTTTATCATGTCTGAGCTGCTTCAGTGAAGTGTGTCAGTCTCTGCAGAAACTTCCAGCTGCAGCAGTCAGTTCAGTTTCTGTTCAGTCTGACTGAGGGAGGTTTTTGTACGACGCTTTTTCACTGTGTGAACACCCACTGACTGCTGATGCTATGTAAACTCTGACAGTAGTAAACTGCTGCATCTTCAGTCTGGACTCCACTGATGGTCAGAGTGAAGGCAGAGTTTGATCCACTGCCTGAAAAACGATCTGGAATCCCTGATGCTCGAGAGCTAGCATAGTAAATGAGGAGTTTAGGAGTTCCTCCATCTTTCTGTTGGTACCAGTGCAAATAGTTGCTACCATGAACATTCTGACTGGTTCTACATGAGATGGAGACGGAGGCTCCCAGAGCAGAGGTCACTGCTGCAGGCTGAGTCACTGTGACCTGTCCTCTGGACTCTGAGGATACAGAGACAAAAACAGAAAGCAGCATCAGGGTTTAGTGGGCTTCATTTCAGAGGGACGGATGTTCATAGAGGAGAGGAGTTTGATTCTCTGGACTTTACCTGTGAAGCAGCAGCAGAGGAGGAGAGTCCAGATGAGGACGCACATCAAAGTCATGTTTTTGATGATGAGGACGAGGATTTCTGTTGTGATGAAGGACAGCTGTCAGTCATCCAGTGTTCAACTGTCAGGACTATAAAGTCTCCCAGAGCACTGGAGCATGGTGCTGCTGATGCAAAGTGGCTCTCTATGGAAATGTTCTGAGAAAATGGCTGATTTTTAGCTGATTCAAAATGTGTTGAAAACTAATTTGAAAATGAGAAGTTTTAATTTATTATATGGTTTCAGGTCATGCTTGACATAATCTTAAAAGGTTGTGACAATTTTTTGTTTTTAAGGGATCTGCAGAGGTTAATATGGACCAACTGTGATGGTACAAAGGCCCAGTATGTGTTCTTTATATAGTCCAAAATATTATTATTATTATTATTATTCACAATCTCTATGTCCATGGATGGTCACGTGTTTGGGAGGAGTGGGAGGTTAATTGTGAGCCAGTAAAGATGGACGTAAATATGAATGTGTCGCTAAAGGTTTAATGACTTTAGAAATTCCTTCTTTATTTTCTCATTTTAATAAGATGTTTTTCTTTGTAGTAACAACGTTCTCATATATATGAACTATACTGGAATAATACTGGAACGATGCAGCTTATCAGAGAGATGAAGAAATGATCAGAAAGTCATCTAGAAGCATTTTTCCCATTTGAATGATGAAGTATGATATCATCAGCATATAGAATCTTCAACATTTTAGTACAGCATTATGACCTCAACATATGAAACAACTGATGTCATGTGTTTAGTTTAGCTAAAGACTACACATTATGCTCTGAATGTTTAGAACAGGAGCATGATGTTTGAAAACCTCCAAATATAATCTGTAAAAAAGTATGAATCTATTTGAAGTGTTTTTAACGTTTGGGTCCCTTTATGAACGTGTTCACTTTGCAGCTTATCTACAGTGAATGTAATTTGTTTAGACTTATATTCTTAATGCTCTTTTCAAACAAACTTATCAATAAACACAGTTATACTATAAACTGTTCTCTGTTTTATGGAGCTAGTTAGCAGACAATCTTGTAAAGTGCGTCTGTTTCTCTGCAGCTGTTCAGTCAGATCAGTTCCTCTTCAGCTGACGGAGGTTTTTGTCTGACGTTGTATCACTGTGTGAACGGGAAGCTGCTACCCTGCTGACAATAATAATCTCCTGAATCTTCAGTCTGGACTCCACTAACAGTCAGAGTGAAGTCAGTTCCAGATCCACTTCCACTAAAATGAGTAGAAACTCCAGACTGACGGTTTGTAGAATAATAAATCAGGAGTTTAGGAGCTTCTCCAGGTTTCTGAAGATACCAGTTGAGGTAAGCACTAACACTTGTGCTGGTTTGACATCTGATAGAGACAGTCTGTCCTAGAACAACAGACAGAGATCCAGGAGTCTGAGTCAGGAGGATGTCTCCTGATGAACCTGAAGAAACATGAAAAAAGAGGAGAAGGTTATTGAAACAGACGGAGAAAGATGAACAACATCCAAACAGAATCTTTGCTTTCTTAACTTTAGAGAAACGGTGGAAAAAAGGTAAATGCTGCTTCTTTAAGTTTTTCTCCATAACAGTGATTATTGTAGTGAACCTGGCCTCACCCTGAACAAGGAGCCCAAAGGTGACCAGGTGTAGAATCAATGACATCATCATCATCATCGTATGTCAGCGTCTCTGAAAGGCCTCAAACAGCTTCTGATCGACACCGGCCTCTTAACGTCCGAGAGCAGAGAGGGAGGACAGATATGCAAACACACAGAGTCAGTCAACTGAAGCGAAATATGTAAATCTACCTCAAGCAAACTATACAAAAAATATGAATTTAAAATTAAAAGAGTTTGTCAAGCTTGATGAGGAATTTTCTCCTCAGTGGATGATTTTAAATATTAGTTTATAACAATACATAACAATACATGTAATGATCAATGCAGTATGATAAAAGGTAAATATAATATTAAAAAACACATGAGGTTATCAATAAAAAATCTTTTAAAAAAACTGTCTTGTAAGATGTTGTCAGTGTCACTTTTTATAAAGAAAATATGTGCATTGTTTTACTAGTGATAACCTCAAAATTAAAAAGAATTATGAAAAAAGAAAACATGATATTTTGCATTTTTATTGCCAGACTTGTAAAAATAAGTATCGTGATCCGTATCTTTGAATGTGTTCTTAGAAAAACTGCTGCAGCTTCTTGTTACTCAGTCATGCTCAGCACAGTAAGACTTTCACATGTGTATCTTGAGAACTGAAACTGTCTGTTTCCACGGATCAGCAGTGATGCATTTCTGTTGCCATGGTTACTCAGTTTCACCCGGACGAGAGGAGGACCAGAAGGACCGGCAGCTTTGACTAAACGTTTTCTAGTTTATTTTTCTTTATCTTAATGTGGCTCAGTTACTGTCAGTCCAACAAGTGTTAACAAACTAACAAATAAAAGTGAAACAAGTAAACAAATAAAGAAGAAGGAACAACACTGTTACATTTAACACAAAGTGCTCATTGAAAAAGGAATTGAGTAGCTCTCTCATAAATGTAGGCCTATATAGTCACTCCAAACTGCTTCTTTGTCATGATCTCAGCTGTGCCTCTTCTTCATTGTTTCTGTGTGGTGTGTTGCTGTTTCCCTGTTTGTGTCATTCAATAAGTAACTATAACCATCTCATGTT